TGTTGTGCCCATCGAGATCAAAGGTGGCAGGAGATGTGTTAGAATGAATCAGGGACAGTAGACAACTAAGCTCCAGGAGCAGATGCAAGTTTAAGCTGCAACACCACTGAGTTTTTATTATGCTGTTTGTGGTTTTTTTTTTTTTCCCATTTGAATCAAATGAGATGTGAGAGTGTGCTCTTACATTGTTTTAGCCAGAGTAAAACTGATTTTGCAGACATCAGGAGCAAGAGGTAGTTTCTCAGCATGCTGAGAAATCATCTTAAGGATAAGTCTGTAGAGTAAGTGTTACTGTTTGCAAGACACTCCAGAGGAAATTGTAATTACAGCAACATTTTTGGTAGGAAGTTTGAGGATTCTATAGTGGGAAAGGTATTTGAGCTTTTTAAATTTGAGATGATGTAAATGTTCATTGATAAAGAAATGGTCAACTGTGAAGTGCCAGATAGTAGATGAACATGTACTACCATGACATAAGCATTTTATCATCTATGTTTTCTATTATTTTTTACTTATTTTTAAAACTTTCATTTTTTTTAAAAAAAATATTTATTTTGATTGGAAAGTCAGAATTCTAGAGAGAAAAGAAACAGAAAGATTTTTCATCCACTGTTTCACTGCAACAGCTGGAGCTGAGCCAATCTGAAACCAGGAGCTTCTTCTGAGTCTCCCATGGCGGTGCAGGGTCCCAAGGCTCTGGGCTGTGCTCCACTGCTGTCCAGGTTGTGATGGGATGAGGAGGAGCAGGCCTACATGCTAAGGCTGAGGAAGAAGTCAGCTAATCCTTTTTGCTGTCTAGGTACTACCTCATCTCTCTCGCTCTCATAATAAACTCCAGAAAGTAGAAATTACAATTTTGCTTTTTCGTTTAGTAAATGCTTGTGCCTTGTACCTTGTTCATTAAACTGAATTCAGCAGCAACAGGGAATAATTGTATGATAGAGGATGTTGTAGTTATGGATGACGATGTTTCTTGTAGGAACATATTTGTCCAGTGGCTGTTTATCGTCGCTCATTTGCCAGTTCCTGCAAAGAAAGTGTGTCAGTATTCTTTTCCTTGTGTCAGCTGTTCTTCCTTTGTAGCAGATGTAACTATTGGCCCTAGCTTGGAAATGGAAGAATGAGCTAGAAAATATTAGTGCATAAACAGAAAGTTATTATAGAAAGTGATATATAGAAGTATATTATATTTAAATGTACTATATATGAAATTGAAGATCTGTTCGATCAATAACATGCTAGCAGAAATGTTAGTTTAACATAGAAGTAGAGAGATTGGACAGAAATAAATTAACAAAACCAATTAAAGTTCTTTCTGGTATGACACTCTTAAAAGTAAATCATACTGCTATGTAAGAGCTGTTTTATGCAGCTTGCCAATGTGATGACATGTTTAATAGCATGATGAGAAGTTTTTCCTAAATAAGAATTATTTGGGAGGAATGCATTTGAGTTTATTTAGGATTAATTTATAGAACCTTACAGCAACTATCCAATTACTAAAAGCTTTTCTCAAATGGATTCCATCCAGATAGGCAAACTGCTTTCCATATTTGTCAATAATGATTTTTTTTTCCTGTAAAGCAACCCTAATAACTTTAATGACAAACCTGCTCAAATTCTGAGTAATCTTTGGACTGTGAAAATGTAGCATGGCTAAGATTTTAAGTGGAGAAAATGCGCTAATCAGGCTGAGCGAGTAATGAGGCAGGCCAGTGGGAACACCTGTGTGTCAACGAAGTCTAGTGACAGCAGTGGTTCCTCAGTATGACAGCAGAAAATTTACAGTCTCTGCCAATCACTCCCCAAGTGGCCACGATGGCCAGAACTGAGCCCATCCAAAGCCAGGAGCCAAGAGCTTTTCATGAATCTCCCACATGGGTGCAGGGTCCCAAGAATTTGGGCTGTCCTTGACTACTTTCCCAGGCCCTATACAGGGAGCTGGATGGGAAATGGAGCATCCAGTATATGAACCAGCACCCATACGGGATCCGGGCACATGCAAGGTGAGGACTTTAGCCATTATGCTACTGCACTGGGGCATTTAATTTTTATTTTTAGTGATACAGTTCCATGGACTCAGGGATTTCCCTTTCCATTCGCTCCATTCCCCTCACCCGCCAATGCTTTTCCTCTCTTTACTGTAGTACATTCCTTCAGCAATAGTCGCCAGTCCACCATGCTGTTATTTAAGTGCATCATGACGCTATATGTATAGACAGCAGCAAAAACTCCAGCATCCTGTCGTCAAATTATGTTTAACGGTTGCATTAGGAGTTCACCTTTTATTCGGGAGAATAAATACATACTGCAGTATATCTTTACCTCTCGGGATACTGATCTCCATTGTGCAGTTCCTCCAGGTGAATATGTGCATATACATGTTTAACTATATGTCTGTTGATTTTGATTTGGTAAGACACAGGAGTAATGGCTTACCAATGGAATGCGTGGGTGTTATTTTCCTTAGGTGATCTCTCTTTTTGGAAATGTGGCTGTGATTCTCAGTCAACTGTTAATTTAAACCACTCTGACTTCTCTGGCTGAGAAGTAATTTCAAATATGTCCCTCTCTACTGTAAACCTCTTGGAATGATAACTTTATGGAGAAATATAAAATGCCCAAAATAAGTTTGATAGCTGTTGATTTGGCATGATACATAATGACCATCTGTACCCTATGGCAGTCCACCAAGAAGGCCAATCATTCCTGTGGCCTGAAATGCTGGCTGGCTGCCTGCAGCCCTGCCCAGGGGCTCACCTGTTACTTTATAGAAATGACTACTTTTGTGAGGGAAAATTCCAAAATTTAGGTTTTAACATTCTAAAGCTGTGATTAGGTTTTATTTTCATTTATTTTCAGTAGTTTATGCCTATATTATTTCTACTAATTTACAAATTATAATTTACAAGGGCACAGCATTTTCATGAAAGTGGAAAAACACTGTAATGATGATTTTTTTTTGACAGAAATTAGTGAAGAGTTACTATGGGAAAAGCAAATATATTATCTGGTGGAAATAAATGAGATTGAACTGAGTCTTTTTTTTTTTATGAAAATGCTGTGCCCTTGTATAAATTGTATTTTTATATTTACATTTTCCCTTTTATTCCAGTGGTATTTAAAGTGGAAAAGCTGGTATGAACAACCCTGTTTACAATTGTCAAAGTGGAAGAGCTCTCAAAAACAAAAGCAATTTTATAACTTCAAAATAACACTTTTGCTTGCTATGCTATATTCTTTTTTTTAAGATTTATTTTTATTATGTTTTTATTGGAAAGGCGGATATACAGAGAGGAGAGACAGAGAGGAAGATATTCCATCCGATGATTCACTCCCCAAGTGAGCGCAACGGCCGATACTATGCCGGTCTGAAGCCAGGAGCCTCTTCCGGGTCTCCCACGCGGGTGCAGGGTCCCAAAGCTTTGGGCTGTCCTCAACTGCTTTCCCAGGCCACAGGCAGGGAGCCGGAAGGAAAGTGGGGCTGCCGGGATAGAACCGGCGCCCATATGGGATCCCGGGTATGTCAGGCAAGGACCTTAACCACTTGCGCCACCATATCTTTTGGTGGGATTTAGACTGTTTAGCTATTTCCTTTGTTAGATATTTTTTTTTTTGCAAAATTTCTTAAAATTGTATTGTTGAAGTATACATGTTCCCCATATATTCTACATATACTTGTTTAAATCAAGTAGAAGTATTGCAGAAGTGTTTTCTCACTTTGTAGCTTGCATTTTCATTTTAGAAATGGTAAATCAGGTGAATAAATATTAGTTTTGATAGTCAAGAGTTCATATTCTTCGCTTAATTTGTCCTTTTTGTACCTAACAAATTGTTGCTATCATGAAGGTATTTTTCTGTGTTTTATGCTAGAAGATTTATAGCTTTAACTTTGTATTAAGACAGAAAGATAATACGTATATAAACACCTGAATTTTAAAAATCAGTATGTCACCTGTCTGTCAGATTTGTATGTCTAAGCAGGTGCGTTCTTCAAGTGTCTGCCCAGCGTGTTTCATACCAGGGTTCCTTTTACTTCAAGAGGGATGAATAATTGATTCATAGTTATTTTAGAATTACATTTCAGTCTGGCATAGGGGAGAGAATTACTGTAACAATAACAACAACAAAATCCAATTGATAAAAGGAAGAGAGGATGAGCTATTTCATTCTAGGTTCTTCCCCTTGGCTTTCCCTCTCCTGCTTCACTCTACCCTCCCGTCTCCTCCCGTTTCCTCTTTGCTTTCCGTCTTCTCTTCCTTTTTCCTTCCTTCCCTGTTTCTTTTCCGTGCTTCATTTATTTTTTCTTATTTTGATTTATCGTTCATATGCATTTGCCCTTCCGACATCTTAGTCTTGTGTTGCTAAATAGTAAAGATTTTCTTTTTCACGTGTTAAAATGTTTCCTAAATAGTAGGAAGTACTTGAAATCACAGAGTGGGACACATTTTTGCGTTGCTGGGTTTGCCTCACTGGGCGTGTGCATCCTTCTGTCATACTTGATGTTCGCTGCTGTACTGTGCTGCATGCAGTTGCTTGAGAAAGACACGGGACTACATGTTTCATCATAGACATCTGTAAATCTTAAACATATGCGGTAAAATTAGCTCTTCAGTAACAAGGTTTGCGTGGAAAAGTAATTCTGTAAGATCAAATTAGAACCGGAAATTTTGCATTGTAGAACTCAGTGTACTAATATATTGGGGGAAAATTTCCTTTTTAAAATGACAGAATAGCTGTGCCTTATGGTAGGTGTGAAGTATATGCTATGTTCTGACTATAGGTTACTATCATTTTGAAGACTGAAATTTCTGATATAACTTGCTCAAAGGTAACTCTTAATATCCTATTGTGTAGAAACATTTCTTGCAAGTATTTTGCAGCACCTTCAGTATAATGAATGGTCTGGATGAAATATTCCTTGTATGTTTTTCCTGCTGACTCAGATGCCTCTTTTAGAAAGTGTGCTTTTGAACTAAATCACATTTTTTTTTCTGTAGGATAAGAAATGGATTCTCAATCATGAAGATGTCATATTGGGAGAATTGCTGGGCAAGGTATGCAGGTCACTGAGCTAAATAACCAAAACTGCTTCTAAACGCTGTGCATGTTACAAATCTGCTTCTTCAAATAGTTTCGTATATTCTAGCACAAAGCAAGATAATTGTACACTAACATAGAATACCATAATACCACACTTGTTGGTAATGCTATATAATGCTTACTTAGATATGTGAAATCTTAGAAACGTTTAAAAGCAGTTCATGAATTTAAAAAGAATACAAATATTTTTTTTTTCCTGGAAGGACTAATAGCCGAAAGGATTTCATTATAGCACAGCAAAGCTAAGACTATTGTACTGAGATTTGAAAAAAAACTATGAAGTAATAGAAGTTTAAATAAATTTATGTTTGGTTATATATGATAACCCAAAAAAAGTGAAATAGTACTCATTGAGATTTTGAAGTATTCGTTGAGATTTTAAAGTTTCTTCTAGAATTACAATGTATGACGTTATTGGAAATATTATCTCAGGTCCAGATAAGTATTACACCAGGTTGGGAAAGGGAGAGGCAGGGATTCACTGAGGTCCTGTGGTGACTGCCATGAAAAGAAAAAAGAGGCATAGTGAAATCTGTTCCCATGGACATAAATAAGCTCAGTGCCCAGAGCTGGAATTTTCCCTGTTGAATCAAGGAGTGTGTAGGATTGTCTGACGCTTCCTCAGACCACTTTGGATGGAGAAGGGGTGATCAGAGGAAGCACTCTTTTGACTGGAGATTCCCCCTTGACCAACAATTGATAGAGTTGAAATACTTTTAGAATGAATGGTCAAAATTTTGAGAAAGCTAGGATGCACCAAGTCCTACTCTGTAGAGCAGAAGCCATTGCAAAGATATAAAGGGATAATAGGTATTAAAAATGAGAGACATCCTTTTGGCACTATCAACAATGTCATCACATATGAGGGGTGCAGGAAATGGGCCTGGAGATTAGGTAGCGTTTCCCCCATTGGAGGGAGAGTGTTTCCATCATACTAATGTGTCTTTACATATGATTTTAATGTTTTTTTCTCTTTTTAAGTATACTGTAAATAGTTGCATTTAATATGAAAATGGGTTCCCACCATTGAGTAAGGTTACAGGTTCAAATGTTAAGTAACATTCCATTCATTATGTGTGACATTGACATTGGAGGAAGGCCTTACTCTCTGTGGTATTTTCAGACACTGAGAAGCCTATGACCGTAGCTTGAGATTTTGAAGTTGAACACACCTCTTTACTCTGACTTGGCTGCCTTTCTCCTACTGAACTTTATTTCATTTAAAAAAAATTTTTTTTAAATTTTTGATGATGCTTGCATAGGTGCCCAGGATGGGAATGATTGAGGAAAAGTGGGTGTGATCATTGTTTCAAAGTTTTCTATTTCTTCTTCCTGTATCTGGGGAAGGGAAGAGTTAAGGGGAAGCTATATCCAGCCTCCCAAGTGCCCCAGTACCTGGTGATGGCGAGCAACCACCTGATAACAACCCAGGGTCCCCAGTGTGGCACCTGCTCTGAGGGTTCTGCCCAAGTGATTTCACTAATTTTCGAATGCTGTCAATCTCACCAATTCAAGGATGAGGAACCCCTTAAAATGTCCATTGCTTGACATAGTCTACTTTAGAGTCTCCATTCATACAGGTATTTGCTGTCATCATTTGGCTGGGGTAGTTGTCCAATTTGTTTGTCCTCCTTCCTCTGCTATGGTACCAGATGACTTCTGCAGGCCCCAATGGGCTGCCATATCTTCCACATGCATTTGGGCCAGCTGTCCACTTCTCTATCCTTTCCACTGAGGAGGCTCAGCTCTGATACAAGAACAATTGGTCAGTCCACCAATCCTAGACATGAGACCCCAGGCCCCCACACACCCTCACCTGTGCCATCACCATACCCCTGCAAGCCAACACACCAAGCCTCCATAAGCATGACCCTGGGTAGCCAGTGAGCTTCCCCTGGTGCCATTGATGCCCTGGGCATCCTGTAGGGATCACTACCCCCAGGGCCCACCACACAAACGGGCCCAGGGGCCCAGGTCCTACTAATGTTTCTTATTCTTCAACTAACTGCAATTGTATGCATCAGTCATTGCACATACCCTTCAGGATTTTTATTTCTAAACACTAACATAAATCTTAAACGAATCAGATATGGAATTTAAGAAAGGTATATGAAGTAGATGGAATGAAACTTATAGCATCAACTTTAGCTTTTATTTTGACATATTTTCTTTTTCAATTGAACTCCATTTCTGTTCCTTTCCAGTTTTCTCGTAGGATTAAAAGCTCCTCCTGATTGTGTTGGGTCAGGCTGTAGTAATAGCGTGACCAGTTTTTTTTTTTTTTTTCCACTCAAAATTCTGAATGAACCTAGCAGGGTACTATTTGGCCAAAAAAAAAAAAATGTATTACAGTCTAACACCACAAGCAAAGCATGTGTTTGTATTTTCAGGGAAATTTTGGTGAAGTATATAAGGGCACATTAAAGGATAAAACTCCTGTGGCTGTTAAAACTTGTAAAGAAGATCTTCCTCAGGAATTGAAAATAAAATTTTTACAAGAAGCGAAGTGAGTACTGTAAAGTAATACATTGTTTATTTATAATTCATTATCATGTATTTATTATTCATTATAATGTATTTATAATTCATCAAAAGGCAAGTATGAAAGTAATGTGTGATTTGCTCAAGCAAAAGTATGCACTTTCTGAAACTGCATTAGTAAACCCTTTTACAATGGAAACAAAATTTTCTGTTTGGAGGCAGATGGCTGTAAGACAATAAAAAAAAACAATAGTGTTAAACCTCAGTAATATTCTTTTAGTTGTCAAATGTTGCAAAGTTTTTGTTTTTATCACATATACTTAAAACTATATGTGTTTATGCAATGTTATGTGTGTACAATGTTATTGTCCTTATAATAAAAATGTTACTGTATCATATACATAAAATAATTTAAGCAAGAATATTTCAAAACATCCTTAGAAAATTAAGTTAAAATATGAATTTACCTAAATGCAAACATTTTTGAAAACTGTGTATATGAATATACATTTAGATATAAAATTATATATCTCCTACCCCATTTGGGTACCATCACTCTGGTTCTTCTTTTCCCAGCTGATAACTTTCTACATGAGATTCTCAGATTTCTTCTTCCACGTAGAGTCTTGTAGTTGCTCCAACATTTGCATAGTTTTCATCTTCCAATCAATCTTTCGAGGTGATGTTCTCCTCTCCTATTATGAACGAAAACATGATGTTTCACCTTGCGACTCCATAGTGCAGTCAGCTAAAACCAGCTTGTTAGTGCTAAAATGGAGAATACACAAAAAGCATAAAGCGAAAGAAATGGCGCAGTACCAGCTCATGGACATACGTGTGGGAGTTGGGCTGCTTGATGAAAGGATGCCCTACTGCACAGCACGTTGTGGTGTACACTTCTTCATTTATCATCTAAAATGCCTATGGGTGGGAATGGATCCCTGTAGTTGTGTGGATATATTAAAAGTCATCTACAGAAGAAAGTTGTAAATCGTAAGGTGCTGGCAATTTAGAGTAAATTTTCATGATAAACAAAATGCATACTCTGATGACTGAAATTATAGTTCCATTATTTTGCCATTATTCATATATTCTTAAGATAAAACATTATATCTAACATTGACTCCAAAAATACTTAGATGATTTCTAATGTGATTGCTTGCTTTATTGTAAAACATGTAATTTTCTGTGAATTCAGATTATCTGTGTTGTGCCATTTTTTTACAGACTGCTTTCAAACTTTAAACCTAAGAAAGGAAAAGTTTTGATTAAAGTCAAACATATTTAAAACTTCCTTTTGAATTTCTACTATAAGATAGAAGCTTACTGAGAGATTACTTCCCTTAACTCTATAATTCTTCTTAGTCTTGTCTTTTCATTTATAAATCGCTGTATATTTTTAATATAGAATATTTTCCTCAGACCTACCCCTGGTTTAACTATTCATGTACAAAGCATGTATAAATATTTCTCTATCTCTAAAGATGTTTTTGCATTATCTTAAAGAATAATGCAGTATTTAAATGTGAGTGATTTTATAACTATCCATAGGATAAGAAGATATTAAACTTGGTAAATAATCCTGGCAGGTCAACCTCTGTGGGAATCTGATCTATTTTACTTCATCTTTGGAGTCCTATTAATGAATCGGTTCTGCTTTTATAATCTTCTCATGAAATTTGGCCATGTGCAAACTAAATGTACTGTGCTTCAGCTTAAATCTGTGCTGAAACCCAGTTGGAGAATTGGTTTTTCACCTTTTGCCAACTTTTCCAAGACTTGTATATTTTTACATTTGAAATTGATGATAGACATCAAGAAAATATTGAACTCTTAAGAAATCTAGCGAAGTGATTACTCGGTGGAATTTGCCAGTATGAGATGATTTCTTACTGTTAAGTGCTGTAAAATCAAGTGTATACGTATGCAGCAAAATGCTTCCCTCACGGCCCACATTTTTTGGCTCACTAGTATATTCCAGTCATATTTTTGTAGTGGTGGCTAAAACTGAACTTTGAAAATGAGTTCTTCATATTTTCAACAAACTAAGCTATCCTTATTTAGCAGATTCCTTGTGTTTTAGTTGGATTATTTTTAATTGGATGCTTCAGTGAGTTACATAATTGACCCATTGTCACCTAAATTAGTATTTTCCTATTCAGATGATAACCGTTCCCCAAATTTTTCTCTTATCCAGAATTCTCAAGCAATATGATCATCCCAATATTGTCAAACTTATAGGAGTTTGCACACAAAGACAGCCTGTCTATATCATTATGGAACTGGTTCCAGGTAATGTGATTTCAGAGACTTGCTTGATGACATTGTAATGTTATGTTTTGTTACTTCTATAAGTTCAATCTCTTTGATTTACCCCTGTAAAGTTTCCAAGGATTTTGTTTAACATTTTTCCGGTAACAATGAGCTTGGATATATACTCAATATTTTTAAAGGCTATAACACTTCTCTGCTTTCCAGAAAATGTCAGCCAATATTTTTTGAGGTTTATTATTAGAGTGTAGCTGTACATGGAATTCAATTATGTTTAAATGGAGTTTCTATTTATAAAATGTCTACTTAGTTTTGCTTTGTGACAGTGATAGTACTGTCTTGAATTCATTGTGTATTATTTTTCATCATTACCTTTTTCATGATTATATGAAGATACTTCAACAATGTCATGGAAAAAGGAACTTAGAAGGTCAATATATTTTAGTGCAAAAAGTTTTGAAATCTATCCAGAATTCTTCCATAATGCTTTCCATGAACTTCTCACAGGAGGCCTTATGAAAAAGCACATTTTGAAAACATGATTTTTTTCTTTTTTTTGCATGAAGCTAAGCTTATATGGAATTCAAATGTAATTAACTTGTTGAGTTGCCATCATTTAGTCATTTTGTGGTGCAGTGGTTTGCAGATGATGTCTGAATTTTATATGTGAACAAAAGTATAATCTGCCTAGGAATTTGTTTGCTTATTTCTTCCTGACCTGCTTTAATATTTTTTTAGGTTTTTTGCTGTTGCCGTTGTAGAAAATGTTTGTCTTCCTTGTTGTAAAAATGCAATCAGAAGTAAAGTTTGACTTCTTAAGGCTTATAATATACTATTTAATATCATGGATTTGCTTTACTTCTAACAATTACTTGTTTTAAAAGAAATGTAATGGTATCAGAATTTTTTTTAACTTTAATTAAAATATGTTAGATAAACCTATTATATATGTCCCATTAAATACTGTAGGGATTTCTTCCATCATATATGCCTATTTAAACATTCCATTTTGTTTGCTATTAGAATGTTCTCTATAATACTGTAAACTACAATATGCTTAGATTATATACTCATCCCATCCAAGGTGGCACTGTTTAGATACATTATATATTTGAGTAGTTGACACCATTTATGATAATTTTTAAGTGGATTTCAATTTAGTTAAAATACTGTGATCCAAAAAATTTAAAAACAACTGTGTCTTGTATTATTGCAACTAAAGTTGGATGTGTAAATATTATAAATGCACATTCACATTAACATTTATATAGTTGCAGATAAAGTCCTTGGTTAATAAATATTACTGAGCCCCACATTGTGAGAGAAAAGCAGATTTGATCAAGAAAGGTGATTTTCAGCTTACTGTGGATAGCTCAAGAGCATAGATAGATATTCCAAAGATACCTCAAGATGAATAAATCAGGAGTTTTGTACGAGAGGCAGGCAAATGTCTCTTGTGATACTTTGCATTAGAATGATAATCTTTATTAGGAAATTAAAAAGGAAATGATAGAAAACAAATGAAAACCTCCTATTCAACAGTCTAATTACATGCCAAAGCTGGTATCTATTTTAGATCATTTTTTAAAATTTTTGTGCAGTTGTTTAATGCAGGTACATTAATGTTATATGGATTTTTTAAATTTAGTTTTGAGGAGAATTGTAGTATAGCAGTCTTTCAGATCTTGATGCTTTCTGTTATTAATGCGACTTTGGATGTTTTCATTGTTTTGTGGCCATGCTTACAGTTCCACCTTGTCTTTCTGATGGATACAGAGTATTCCATTTTGTGCATGTACATAATTTAACCAAACAGTTCTGTATTTGTGGGTATTTTAGTTGTTTCCAGTTTCATTATTCATTTGTTTTACAACCAATGCTTGACGAACCACTTTGGACTCAGTGTATAAACTGAAGAATTAGAGAAAAATTCAGCAATAAGACTTTTGGATCCAAATTTATGTATAGTTTGATTGGTGGTCAGTATGTCACATTTGTATTGCTATGTAGCACATTGTCACCACCAGTTATCTTTCAGCAAGTCATGTTTATTATGTCACAATTGTGTAGGTCAGAATTAATGTATGAAAAAGCCTAAGAAATTAATATAGGTGTCACTGGATTTCTTACTGAGTCTCACAAAGCGAAATCAGACGTTCAGTCTGAACTCTTCCCTGGATGCTCTGGGGAGGAATCCACTACCAGGTTGATTTAGTTTTGTGCAGCTGTGTGTCTGATGGTCCCCACTTCTTGCTGTCAGCTATAGCTGTCTCTCAGTTCCCCTAGGTTATCACCATGCCTTTTTACTGTCTCTCCATCTTCAAAACCAGTACCTGCACATGGAATGTTTCATGTGTATCGAATATGTGACTTTCTTTTATCCTACCAATTGGAAATGACTCTCCTATCTGATGTCAGGATTGCTTGTTTTAAGGACTGTTATATAAACTGACAGAATACAGGTGTGTGGTTTTGAATCCCATTTACATGATCCAGGGATAAGAGTGGGAGTTCTTTGAAAGACTGTCTTTGAATTCTGCTTCCCACAGTAGATTTTGTTGCTTTCTTACAGGCTAGTTCCAATGTGAATTGTTTCAGTAATCAGTGAGCTTTGTATTCTGTGTTACAGTAAGGCAGTTTGCAATTGTACCCATGTCTGATGTGTTAGTGCTATGCTTCAGCCATTTGGAAAATACCTGGTTACTAAGTAATGCAGATGGTGACAAACAGTGACACAATTCATTAAATGTTATTAAAAGATTGCATTCACTAATATAACTTGTCTCATCAGAAAAGTAATGGGAAGATAATCATCTTTTGAAAGATTTATTTGTTTTACTGATAGAGACAAGGAGACACAGATAGTTGATTGGCTTGATTGGCTTGCTCACTCCCCACATGGCCTTATTGGTGACAAGGCTGGGTGAGGTCAGTGCAGGTAGCATGGAACTCCATCTAGAGCTCTGTCATGGATCCATGGTCCATGTACTTGGGATATCATTTGCTACTTTCCCAGGCATTACCAGGGTGCAAGATGGGAACCAGAGCACACAAAGCTCAAACTACATTTCTCTCTGTCCTTGAAATCAGTGTATTAACCCTTTTGCCCCAGTGGCAGCCCCTCCTTTCTCTTTAAGAGGTCATTTTATTAATGTGTAATTGACATTCAATACAGTGTAGCATGTAGAAAGTGTATGTCTGTTGACGTTAGTACATGCTTTTAGAGCTGTCACAGTCTAAGCTTACTTGGTTACCATCAGAATTATTATAATTGGTAAAGGGAACAAAATGAGTGCTTAAAATGACTGCTAATAACATAACCAAACTTTAACCAACTCTGAGCATTCCCTTATCCCTTCCTCTAAGTCTTATTGTGCTCTAGAAGCTGTAGCCAAAAATATATTGAGCCTAAACCAGGACGCACAAGCTGTCTTCAGTTAGTCCCCTTTTCACCATTATTTGCAGTTGTTTTGTATATATGTTTTCATTTTCAGCCTGCATGTTTTTCACTGCCATCACATGGAAAACGAAATTATCTGAATTACGGGTCTCTGAATTTTGCTATAACCTATAATTCTTTATTATGAAAAATTTTTTTCGAAAATTGGAAAACCTTCATAACAAATTCCCAAACTACTACAGAATAGTGTCTTTCTTTTTATATGAGTAAGGAATGATAAAGTAACAATTAGTTTCTGTAACAAAGTACTGTGTTCACATATTTTATGTTACTCAGAATATTCCCACTGGTTGTGTTTGTTCTACATAACTTATGGCTACCCATGCATTTTAGTTTGTATTATTAGTTTTATTTCCATTTACAAATAAGTGAGATTCACATAGCTTAAAGTGATTTGTCAATATCAGTTAAATAGGAAATTAGGAAGTACTAGTTTCTATTTCTAGTATTGGGTAATTGGATTTATAAATGGGACAAAACCTATAATCATTTTATGAAATGAAAATTCAAGCAAAATGCCAATGCAAGAATCTCTGGTAAATGTATGAATCCTTTTTGCACAGTTTCTCATCCCTTTATACAGAAAATAAGTAGCTTTTCTGGTAAACAAGAGATTTTTTGTTGAAGCTACTTTTCTCTCTAATGGGAATCAAGCTGTAGAGGGAAGATTTAGAAACCTGGTAGGTTAGAAGCAACAGTTAATACCTGCTTAGTGTCTAATATGCAAAGCGCTTCTGAAACATATTATGCAGATTTAATGTGCTCCTGTTCTTGTCAGATAAGTGAGCCCTTTGGAATCCTAAATCCAAAATGTACTTTAACCTGAGTACTATTTGAAAAGATTATGAGCATTTGAGAGTTTGAGTTTATATTGATTCCTTCAGCATGATACTGTCTTCATTAGAATCATCTTTTGAGTTACAAGTATTTTGGTTGCCCGCCTGCTTGCTTGCTTCTTCTGCATTGTTGCACTGGATAAGTGATAAACAAAAGCCATTTCTAAAAGCTACTCAGAAAGGCTAAAGCTAAGAATAGAAAAATCTACTGTGCTAAAACATGTGTTACAAATTGTTAATTAGAAATTAAAAGTAAGAAAATTATGTTTTTTTCTTTATATGTCAACTCATGTTTTAAAAATATTTATGGTCCAGATAACTGTTTTCATATATGTGGTTAAGTTAAGTCTGCCACAGATGCCTTGATGAATGGGAGGCTGGGCACCTTAACCTGAAATACAAAAATGCCTGTGCACACCGTGGAGCACTGATTAATTTTAGCCATCCATCACACATGTCCACTTGTACTCTTTCTTTCGCTAGAGATTTGCAACTACCCTTTCTTTCCGACCTGGCTGTTCTTTCTGGGCTCAGAACTGTTGTATTGTCTTCTGCCTTTGCAGATGCATGTCTGTTCTAGTGCCTCAGACTCACGTTTGAGTCCTTTAGAGTTCTTAAAGCATTGTCACCAGATTTTAAACATTGCCGGAAAACCTTTGCCTCCATAATAGAACATCTTATTTATGGTTAACCAAAAGAAAATAGGGCTCATTCAGTTTTGTTGT